TTAAATGCACAGATCTTCATTAGAAAATCTGTCAGGAGTGATTTCATCACAGCAACTCACAGCATCACATGCAAATGTGAAGTGACACGGAAACAAACACGTCCTCAAAACAGTCTGTGCACAGGATGGAACAGTACTCTTACTCGAATAATATCTGTCTGTATACGTTATAACATGCACTGTATTTAACTTTTTATTCTTACTATTGTTTTTTTTTTATACTATGAACCAGATATCATGTGTTCTTAATAAAGATTGAATTGAATTGAATATATACAGTCCCCTCCAAAAGTATTAGAACAGCAAGGCAAATTCCCTTATTTTTGTTGTTCACTGAAGACATTTGGGCTGAAGATCAAAAGAAGACTATGAGACAAGAGTTCAGAATGTCAGCTTTAATTCCTCGGTATTTACATCTAGATGTGTTAAACAACTTAGGATATATCACAGTTTGTATTAGACCACAGTATTTTTAGGTGAGCAAAAGTAATGGAACAAAAAATCTTAAAGTAAATAAAATGGAATGTTTAATGACAAAACCCTAACTTGCAATAACTGCCTGAGACCCATCGACATCACCAAACTGTTGCACACTTCATTTGCTGCTGTTCCAGGCTTTTATCGCAGCTTCCTTCAGTTCTTGTTTGTTTCGGGGTGTTTCTCCCTTCAGTCTCCTCTTCAGGAGGTGCAATTCATGTTCTGTCGGGTTAAGGTCAGATGACTGACTTGGCCAGTCTAAAACATTCCAGTTTTTTCCCCTGATGAAGTCCTTTGTTTTGTTGGCAGTGTGCTTAGGGTCATTGTCCTGCTGCATGGTCAAATTCCTCCCATTTAGTTTGGATGCATCTCTCCATATGGTAGCAGATAAAATATTTCTGTACACTTCTAAATTCATTCTGCTGCTACCATCATCAGTTACATCATCAATAAAAATGAATGAGCCTGTTCCAGAAGCAGTCATGCACACCCAAACCATGAAATTACCTCCACCAGGCTTCACAGATGAACTTGTGCTTCAGATCATGAGCAGTTCCTTTCTTCCTCCACACTTTGGTCTTTCAATCACTTTAGTAGAGATCAGTCTTGGTCTCCTCAGTCCATCGGATTGTGTTCCATAACTTTTGTGGCTCATCTCTGTACTTCTTTGGAAATTCCAATCTGGCCTTCAGATTCTGACTGCTGAGGAGTGGTCTGCATCTTGTGGTGTGGCCTCTATACTTCTGCTCTCGGGGTCTTCTTCGAACAGTGGATTGTGATACTTCCACGCCTGCACTGTGGAGGTTGTTGGTGATTTGACTTACTGTGGTTTTGGGGTTTTTCTTCAAAGCTCGCACAATATTTTTGTCATCAACTACTATTGTTCTCCTTGGCCGACCTGTTCGACTTCTGTTACTCAGAACACCAGTAGTTTCTTTCTTTTGCAGGACATTCCAAATTGTTGTGTTTGCTATGTCCAATGTTTGTCCAATGGCTCTGACTGATTTTCCTTCTTTTCTCAGGTTCAAAATGGCTTGCTTTTCTCCCATAGACAGTTCTCTGGTCTTCATTTTGGTTTATGCTCTTTAACAAGAAATACAGTGTTGCAGCCAAGAAGTAGGATAGTCATGCAGACCTATTTAATTTTTGAATGGTCAATCTTAAAGGCAACACCTGGCAGCACCTGTCAGTCACATGTTCCAATAGTTTTGCTCACTTGAAAAATGGATGGGTTTAAATAAATGTTGGTATGTCCTGAGTTGTTTAACACATCTAGATGTAAATACTGGGGAATTAAAACTGACATTCTGACCTCTTCCACGACCTGTTTTGTTGACTCCATCGAACCAGGACCTGCAATGTGGAGTCCCTGCTTAGACTGCTGCCCCTGCGACCTGGTCCCGGATAAGCGGAAGAAAATGGATGGATGGATTCTGACCTCTTGTCTCATAGTCTTCTTTTGATCTTAAAACGAAATGTCTTCAGTGAACAACAAAAATAAGAGAATTTGCCTTGCTCTTCCAATACTTTTGGAGGGGACTGTAGTAGAGTGTAGCAGTACTCTTACACGGGTCATATATAGTACAGTGTAGCAGTACTTTTACATTTACTTCATTCACACAACAAACCCCTCTGATGGAACAACCAGTCTACTGCACCCCACACACACGTCCTACTCACAACATGTGTGTAGAGGCCACAAAAGAACATGTGTGTATAGAACTTGGTATGTGAACATCCAGTACATGATCATCCAGTACATGATCCTGCAGTACATGATCATGAGGTACATGAATGTGCAGAACATTAAATCAATCACAGGTACAAAGCTCGCTGTCAGGTTCACCCAACTACACACATACAGTACATACTGTCTCATATAACATCACTAATAAGATTATTAATAATAATATTATTTGCACATATGATACATTATTACAATGTTCAACATTGATCATGTTCAGAAAAAAATAATCAGCAAAAAAAATCATAAAATTGATGTTGTCTGTTGTCTAATACATTCTCTTCTGGAATGTTCTCATTCAATTACAAGCACATTATCGAATCAAAAACACTGACTGTGTTAAAACTGCTGTAACCAAACAAAACAAATGATAGTTCAATCCTTCTGGTAATAAAATCTTTTTTTTACAGTGTATGCATCAAAACATGTGCATTTGACCTCTGACCTTAAACATGCAGAGCTTCAGAGCAGCTCATTGGTCCAAAGCTAAATGTCCATCACCTGAGGAGAAGGTTAAGCCTTTAGATGCAGAATGAGTTAATCCACCACACAAACCTGCAGCAGCCTGGACCCACAGACAACACTACGGTTTGGGGCTCAAGAACACATTTAATTACATATGGGCTTCACTACAGTACTCCAAGTTCAGGTAGCTGTGGTAAAAAGTATGTGAAAACTACTACTAAAGTAACATCTGATTTTTAATCATTTGAAGTGAATGTATTTTGAAGTACTAAACATGAAATTAGTTAACGAAATCTAGTCTTTTCAAAGGCCAGACTCAAAAATAAGACAAAATAAGGAGCACTGCAAGAAACACAAATATTCAGATCATTTCAGATTGTCACATAAAACTTTTGCCACTTTAAACTCCCTCAGAGAGCGAAGAAGAAGCACAATTTTTACTCAAGTAAATAAAGAGTACACTACAATATATTACTCAAATAGTAAAGTATGAGGTGCAAAAACTACTATGAAGTGCAATTGTACTAAAAAGTTACTAGAGTAAATGTAACTGCAAAACAGCTAGCCTTTGAAATAGCAAGCAAATGTAATAATAATAATAATAATAATAATAATAATAATATCTTAGAACTTAAATATACAGAAACAGGTGTAACATTATATTATGAAAAAGTACAAAGTGTCTTGCCCAAAAGCACAACTACAGAGATTATTTGGCCAACCTTTGAATTAGAGGGGAATCATTGTTGCATAATTTGACTCAGCTTGAAACCAAACTTTTCAAAAGCAGCTGTAACTAAATGCAAAGCTGTTGACAGACTGACTTCTAAGTGCAAGGTTCAAATTTCACTTGTTCATTTGAATGTTTGAGCCGAGGAAATTTGCATATTAAAACTGCTCTTATCTTAAAACCGGGACCTGACTTGCCTATTGGATCTGAGCCAAATTTAGGTGAAAAGGTTTTTTGAAAAACTGGCCAAACCTGTTGTACCTCAAGAGAGAACAGGGAAAGAGAATTCATGAGAAACGAATCATAGAAGAGGGAAGTCCATGTTTACTTCTAGTTCAAATATTTTCTTTAGTTTAGTTTAAGATAAGACATGGCATCTTAATGCCATGTCTTATCTTAAACTAGAATAAATGGATCTTAAATGGAGATTAATTGGAGCTTCAGAGCTTTTAATGACCTACTTAGTAATCATGATTTAGTCCTGGCTTAGTCCTGGTTTGGACCTTGTTAGTTTAGATCTGGTTTAGGTATTGATAGACCTGCTTTAGTCTATTTTTACTTTAATTAGTCCTGGTTCAGTCCTGCTTTATTTTTGATTTAATCCTGCTTTAGTCAAGGTTTAGTTCCAGTTTAGGTCTTGTTTTATTCCTGTTTTGTTCCTGGGTCAGTTCTGGTGTAGTCCTTTACCTGGTTGAGTCCTAGTTTAGTTCCAGTTTAGTCCTGGTGAAGTCCAGGTTTATGGTGCCTTCACATTAATTATTTGGTCCTACACTGAGCCCTTTTCAGAGTCCTGAAGTAGACTTAGTTTAGTCCTGATATGACCCAGGTTTAGTTTTGGGTTTAATCCTAATTTAGTCCCAATTTTGACATAGTGATTGTGCAAATATGAATGCATCCTTAAAATGTACTTAGTCTTGGTTGAGACATGGTTTAGTACTGGGGTAATCCTAGTTATAGTTCAATACATGATTTAGATGTAGTCCTATTTTAGTCCTGGTTCAGTCCTGGTTTAGTCCTTAAATATTTAGTTAAGATATTGTTTCATGATACATTCCATCTGCTTTAGTGCTATTATAGGCCTACTTTCAATAGTCATGATTAGTTCCAAGTTTAGACCTGGTTTAAGACTTCTAGTTTATGCCCTTTTTAGTTCTTGGTTTGGCAGCTATAGTCCTGGTTTAGTCCTTTTGTAAGCCCTGGTTTAGTTCTGCATCAGTCCTGGTTTAGTGTCCCTTTATTTAGTCCTACAGTAAACACTTTTCAGTCCTGATGTAAACGTTGTTTAGGTTTAGTTTTGAGTTTAGTTCCAGTTATTTTGGGTTAGTCCAGGTTTAGTTTTGGGTTTTGTCCTAGTTTTGATGTGGGGATTGTGCAAATGTAAACACTCCCTTATACTTTACTTTGTCCTAGTTTAGTTGTGTTTTAGTTCTGGCGAAGTCCTATCGTATCTGGTTTTGTTATTCATGGACAAGTCCAGACAAAGACTGAACTAAACAATAGATTGAATAAACGGGAGTGGTGCAATGTTGCGTTCTGGTCCAGACACAACACCGAAACAAAAAGTGAAATACAAAATACTGTGTGTAACTCTTTTAAAAATATTTATTGAATAACATCTTATATTTATAACAACATACAGTGATGATTTTGAGACACTATTTTAAATTCAAAACTGTTATATTGGAGTAGAGTGTCTGCAGATCAGAAATACCTTTGTGTGAAAATGGATAGACAGAACCAATCAGAATTTAGAGGGCAACATACCGCAAAACATTCGACCAATCAGAGGGAGATCAGCCCATAAGCCCCGCCTCCCCGCATACTTCTAAGGCAGTTCTCTCACTTTGCTACGCAGTTCGTCACATTAGTGTATTTGAGTTTGTAATATTGGAGTGGGTGATATGACAGAACCAAAATCAGAGCATAAATTTCTTAGAGCCACTATGATGATTAAAGATGCACTGTGGAACTTTTTCTAGTGGAGGGTCTGCCACCTGCCTCTCTCAATGAATACATTATTTCTTTATATCAAATATCAGATACTAATCAACACGAAACTAGATACAGTACTCATTTAAAAGGTCTTTGATTCAATTTATTCTTATGGGCTTTCAATATTTCCATATTAAAATTTCCATATTATAATGCTGTTACCTCCTCAAAAACATGCATTCAAACATGAGTAACCCTTTCTTTTATTTATCATTAGTCATCGTTATTTATTTATTATCTTTCTTCAAAGCTCAGAGTGCTCTGTTCCACCTTGTGATGTCATGAAGCGGTAGTTTAAGCTCCTTCCCCCTTTAGTTCAGCAGAGACTGGCATTGATTCTAGTGAAGGTGTATGGAGTTTAAAAACAGTCGAGCACTTCCTTATGACAAGGTGGAGCAGAGTGTTTTCTGTTTGAGAGAACTCAGTCTAAATCTGCAGGGTTTGTGCGTTAAACATGTGTAAATGAAAATAGCATAATATGATCCTTTATGAAGGTATCAATACTGGGAAAAATAAAAATCACTTAACAGAATAAAATTGGACCTTTTGTGAACAATCAGTGAACTGGTGTAAAATAACCTGTTGTAATAAACAAATACTGTTACACTGTGTTGGAAATGACAATCTTGTCTTAAAAAAAGTGCTTTTAAAATGATCATTTGTGTATCAAAATTTGTATTCAGTATCAACTCTATTTAATATCAAAACAGAATTTTAAAATTGAACATTGTGACACCATTTCTTGGCCTGGAATGTTCCACAGTATTGTGTTAAACTTGTGTATCCATGGAAACAAGCAGGGGACACCACCTTACCACGTTCCCTGTCAGAACTGTGGTGAAGTAACCCCATTTCTGCATTTCTTTTTAGCTGTAGCTTAGAATTCCTGCCCGCCCACCAGAAAAGTTCCATAGTGCAGCTTTAAAGTAACCTCATCAAAACGGCCAACAAATAACGATTTCATTTGTCACATCGCACAGCCCTCCTCCATACTTCACACTATAACCTTAACATTTCCAGTGGTCCACTTTATGTCCAAACCAGTAGAAATAAACAGCATTTTCTTCTTGCACCATTTACAGATTTTGATTTTGTATCATGTTTGGTGTCGCCTTCCCTCAAACCTTAAAGCAAAACTCAGTAATTTATTGGCTTACACAGTCTGGGAGTTGGTTAAATGAGTTGAGAACAAATTTTAAAAAGCTGCATGATGTAACTTTTCTGGTGGAGAATCTGCGACTTGCTTGTCTCCACAGTGGAGCATTAAAAAGGGGGTATTAACGGCTCACATAAAACACTGCCATCACCAAGTTCCCTTTTAGTGTTTGAAAATGCTATATTTGTTGAAAACGACGTATTAACATGTTTAAGCATTTGTTTTGAGGTTTTTGATGCTCTGAGTCTCCCCTCCCTTTGCTCTCTGTGCTAAATCACTCCCCATTCAGAGTGCTATCACAACGCAATCAGCGTGCATCATGAAACGACTGCACATCGCATCAGGTTTGTGAAGTTGTGGTGTGTTGTTCTGTGTTTGTGTTTGTATCCTGCTTTACATATTTCTGGCATTGTGTGGGAGGGTGGGTGATGTTTGCTCGAGGACTGAGCACTGGACACAATCTTACTGCTATATCATAAACAGAGCCCAAGAGAGATCACTGGATTACTCAAACATGCATGGATGACATCTTAATGCTCTTCAGGCATTTTCTGATGAGGGAACAATGTTAAAAAAACATGGTAAAAAAAAGTTGATTTGACATAATACCCTCTCTTTAAACCTGTCTATTCAACACTTGTACCAGTTTATTGATGTGGTGATACAATCCTGTACTGTGGCACATTCTAAGCAAAGTACTAACATCCCCATGGAAACAAACAGGTGGTGGACACTATCAGAAAAGTTACATATTGCACCTTGGACATATGTTGATGACAAAATAATCCAAAAAGCCTCCTTAAGTTACTGAGTTTTGCTTGAATCTTTTTGAATGGTCACACATGACCCACTCGGGAGTTGTTACCAATGTACAACCCTTTCCTCCTCTGCCACCGCTTTAGTTGAAGTTTTTCAAAGTCCAAGTGGAGATTCCGAAGGAACATCTGTTTATTTTCCATATTTTATTTCATTTTTAAGAGTCTGCTCTCTCTCCCTCACTCCTGCGCTATGCTCCTCAGAACGTACTTCACTGTGTATGCGAATGCTGCAAAGCCCACAATGACAAAGAGGTTAGCCAGAGCACCCCCTAGCAGTCCGTGGTTGCGGTTGGCCTGGTTGTGGAGGGCGTTGTTGTTGTTGTTGGCAGCCCCGGGCATAGGGAGCGCTGCGGGTCCATTAAGGGGGGGGTGGTAATGGGCTTGTTGGGGGTCTCTATCTGGTACAACGTCAGGGAGGGGAAGGGGCTGAGTGCGGCAGCTCAGCTCTTCTTGGGCCTTCTGCTTCTGCTTCATCTCCTGTAAAAAGAGAGAGAAGATAAAACTCTGCTTTTCATCCAGGGTGGAGCGTAACGTTCTATTCTAAAAAAAAAAAAAAAATACTTTTTTAAAAGCTCAATTTAGACCTAAAATGATAAGAAAAACAAATCCAGATTTCCTTTTACTTTCTGCTGGTGCATCAGAAACACCATTTTCCCCACAGGAAGTTAAACCAAACATCACATTTTTGTGTTAGTGGTTTTGCTCACAAATGTGGATTTTTGACAGTCAGGTTAAAACTGCAGCAGTTTGCTGCAGCAAAGCTTGAATTTCCCTTGGGATCAGTCTCTCTGTCTCTCTCAAAACAAGTAAACAAGTAAACAAGTAAACAGGTCCCTCTCAAATAACATTACAGTCACAAGCTACCTAGCATTAGCCAACAGTTTTTCAGTGAGTCGCTCTTACCCAAACCCTGGGGTCTAAACATGGCCGTACATTCAAGTCAACGGGCCACCCCCAGTGGCGCATGTCTCTAGATTAGCCTAGCCCGGCTCGGTGCTCCCGGTGGCTCTGTCCATTGAACATGCACAGTAGTGCTGTTTTCTCACGCAGGCACACACCAGTGCATGTGAGGTGCTCCTTGTGCGGGGCCTCACGTATCATGTGTCCACTCTGACTAATCAGAGCAAGAGCAGCTAGAACGGACTGATGAAAATCAAACTCAATCAATGCTAAGATTTTAACAACACATTTTCAGCCTGTGATCAATACATTTGGATTTCTGTTTTGTTTTTTTGGCTGTGTTTGCTAAGTGCATGGTGTCACCATGGTAACTGCTAAACACAATAGGCATACATGTAGAACACCCCCAGCATGATTACAAAGAATTAATACATGTTCTTTTCTTTTGGGTTTAGGGTTTAGATCTAGAGACATGCAGAAAGCCAATTCTAATCTTAGGTTTTACTTTGTGTGAAAAGTTTGAGCACCACTCACTTGGCTCATTTAGGTCATAATCTCTATAAACACACTGTCCTGTCTCCATGGGGTCTTATTGTGTGTAAAAACTGTTAAGTCTGTAGTCTGAACCTCTACATGCTGAACGTACTGAACATGTTCTGAAATGTATGGGGCTGTGTACAGCTTACTGAGCCAAACACTGTCACAGATGAAAAGGAGGGAAAACTACCCTGGCTATCCTGCCCTACACAGGCTTCTTGTATATGTTTAATATTGTTTAAAATATAAATTGTAATTTGCACTTAAGGAGTGGAATTAATGAACTTCTCCAATTTGTCCTTTAGCCCTTTTGTGCAGGCTAGGCTTCGGTTTCTTCTCTTAGTATTTGACATTTTAAAAGTATGTGCATATGTACGAATGAAACAAGCATTTCAAGTATGTGTACTAGGTTTTGATGATTCTCTAATTTTGACTTAATTTGGTGGGATAATACCTGTTAACATGTTAACTTTTTTATCTAACTATATAAAAGAATAAAATCTTGGCACATCAGTTTCTTGATGTGTGTTGGAAGAGAGGGAGCAGCCCAAAAACATGAACAGAGAAGATGAAGGCCTAGTGCTGTCCCAATATATTTCTAAATTTGCAAGTAAGACAGTGTGTTCTCTGTTCATGTTTAAATTTTTATCTAAATCTTAAATATGATCTTCTTAACTGTTGAACCTGTCCTAGGCACTTTAAATGAGTTTGTTATCTATGCAATGATGCTGCCTGGGTCTAAGTGAAGACAAACAGACTTTAAAAACACAGAACTCACATCCACCACATCAGGAAACAGCTCACAGAAAACTTTGTCCTTCAGGTTAAAGGCCAGGCTCTGAGCCGACAGCTGACGTTTCTACAAAGGACAAACAAACACATTTAAATACAGGAATATTAACCATCACTAAATTACTGTCCCCTGACTTCTGCATCTGGGCACTGCATTACAAAAAGAACGCTGTGATAAGACTACCATTTTCACAGTCGAACTAAATAAATCACGTACGAGGACAAAATCTATAACAAGTATTAAATGGCCCATGTTACTCTATTTTCTGATGTTGATGATTCTATGTTACAATGTTTCCTCATCACAAACATACACAGAGCTGTGTTTCAATTCATTTCCACCTTTAACACATAAACCCTGCAGATTTAGGCTTGAGTTTGTTTCTTAAACTGCAAAGGTCTTGTGATGTGTGATTGATATTAAACTCCATACACCATCACTAGAATCCCTTAGATCATTTCAGCCCGAAATTGCCCATCTCAACTGAACAAAAGGTAAAAGGTAGCTGTTAACTTGTAACTACCACTTCATAACGTCAAAGGGTAGAACAGAGCATTCTGAGTTTTGAATTTGAGTTTTGAAATGTGTGAACATATCAAAACAACTCCAGTTATTTTTATGATGAGATAACAATGTTCTAACATTACTAACAACTCACAATAAGCAGTTTTGTGTAGGACAGGACCGTTAATTGCCAACAACTGTTTCACCGTTTTATTTCCTAACTTCTATTGGTTAAATCAGCTGTTTTGTGAAGCCCTGCACATTAGTCTGTGATTTGGTGTTTTTCAGTGATTCTTCTCACAGTGAAGTCGGATGTCTCGATGCTGCCCAGAGTTGGACCCTTCTCTACCATGAAGCTCAGGAGCCCAGTCAAGATGGTGGACACAGACCAGGCCGGGTTCCATGTGTCAGGGTGAAAGTCTGTGATCGACAAACATAACCTGCAACACAACAGAAGGAATTTTATTCACCTTATTCTGCCCTGGCTATTTTTGTCCCTAAATGCTCCTAAACTGCACTTTCTTGTGGTGACACTTCTGGTTAATTGGCAGCTTAGGGAAATATAAAACACTGTCTGAAAAGTGGGTTGCCATTGTTGAAACAGAATGTAGATTCTCACCCCCATGCAAAATGGTGAGTTTTTAGGGAGTTGCGTAAGTTAAGTTTCATTTCAGGCTACAGTGAGGATGGAATACAAATCTATCCTGGAGCACAGCAAGGGGACAAGAATGAGAACATTGCAAACATTGCACATTAACACTGCTTCCATTTAGCTTCAAGAAAGAATGTTCATCAGAATCAGACTGCCTTTACTGTCATTGCAACAGTTCAACTTTTACTATATGCCAAGTTCATACAACGTTACATTGAGCAGCACATTTAAAGGTCCTATATACACAAAACTGACTCTTGTGAGCTTTAAGCTGTGTTCTGATGTTACCTCCTCAAAAACAGGCCTGGAGTTGTGTTTTTTCATTCACACATGTTTAAATAACCCTTTATTATTAGTCTGTCTACATCTCCAAAGCTCATAAAGCTCTGTTTCACCTTGTGATGTCATGAAGTGGTAGTTTAAGTGAACAGCTATCTTTACCTTTTGTTTAGTAGAGGTTGGCAGTTACAGGGCTGAAATGATCCAAATGAAACTAGTGAAAAGTTTATGGACAAAACACAACTCCAGGTATGTTTCTGATGAGGAAACCACATTATAACATAGATCAAAAAAAGAGTAACATGGGCAATTTTAAAAAAGTACTGTACCTGATTCTTACTGAAAAACAGAACTAGTTCATTTTAAATGTTTGGTGTTATTCTTTATTACCAAAAACATTAAAACCCTAAAGCTGTCGTACAATATATCTGCAGAGGGGCAAAACTAATTTTTCTCATACAATATCTATAGATAATATAAATATAATATCATATATTTTGATTAGCGCTGTCAAGTGATAAAAAAAAATTGAGAGATTAATTAATTATGATCTGTAATTAATTAATCTAATTAATCTCTTTTTTAATCTCACCTAAAAATTGCTGATAAAAGCTTCAATTTGAGGTATTTTCATTTAAATTATTACTTTATTTTCATACTATCATTAACGTTTTTATATAACTATTATCATTATTACTATTACTAATCTGCATAAATAAACTCAACTTTACAACATATAAACATCATCACTCTAGAGCCACATCATCCCGTTTGACATTATCATGTGTTTAATGCAACTTTACGCAAGTCTCACAGGAATGAAACTTAAAACCACATGACTCATTTGCATAAACTAAGCGAAGAAAAGAAAAAAAAAGCTTCTACTAAAGGACACGACTCAGTGGAATATAGATGTTGATGGTGAAGGTGAGTCTGTTCTGTGTCTGTGTCGCGATGTTTTCAGAGATCAGACGTGTGCAGGTTTATCGCAGATCCGGCATGAAGTTAGAGATTAAAAATAAGATTAATGTGATTAAAAAACATAACGCACTAAATATGACTGTAATTAATTAATCGCAATTAACGCGATAATTTGACACCCCTAATTTTGATCATACACATGGACAAAAACTGGGTACAATCACTTTAAAAAGCACCCTTATTACTGGGCTGTATTTGGATCTCTCTGTTCTAATGTTTCCCCATCACACCTGGAGTTGTGTTTTGTTTTATTCACACATGTTTAACACACAACCCCTGCACATTTAGACTCAAACAGAAAACACTCTTTATACAGGAAGCATCCCACTGTGTTTTTAAACTCCACACATCTTCACTAGAATCATCTGGATGATTTCAGGAATTGCCAATCTCTACTGAACTAAAGGTAAAAGGAGCTGAAAACTACCGCTTCATGACATCACAAGGTGAAACAGATCATTTGAGCTTCAGAGATACTTCAGAGATGTAAACAGACACAAACAACGCAAAAGAGTCAATTTTGTGTAATTTAAAAGCAAAAGAATAAAACCATGACGTTTTTGCCATATTGTTCAATACAACTTGTCATGAGAATAAATGACCAGGTTCAACAACAAAGGTGGAGTTTCCTTAAAATTGTCTTTCAGCTTTTCCTCATAATCAATAAAGCTGCTCTTTGTCTCTTATGTAAATACCAGGTCAATCCAAACTATTACTCATTTATGTGTAGATTGTTCCATTACTCAAACGGTGAAGGAATTACTTGGAAATAAAAATTGTGTAACACTGCAATAAGTTCTCTTCCTCCTTCTTTATCTTCTCTCTCTCCTCTCTCTCTCTCTCCATCTCTCTCTCTCTCCATCTCTCTCTCTCTCCTCTGCTTACCTGGTGTTACACTTGAACCTTCCGTTGGGTGTGATCATGTAGATACTAGGGGGCTTAAATGGGAATTCTCTGGGAAAGATGAGTTTTCCATGATAATATCCTCCTAAAAACAAACACACAAGAGAAGTTACACGAGACAGACCAGTGCAGAAGTGATTCAGATCATAAAACAATAGATGTTACAAACATCTTTGACAGAGAAGAAGGTCAAAGACATTTGGGAGATTAAAGAGGGAGTATTACACTTCTATGGGGTATTGCAAACACATAACATATTTAGATCACCATGTTACCTTTTATTGTTTCTGAAAACATCATATTTACATTTTTATAAGTTTAACTTTCATTTTTGATGCTCCCCTCACATTGCTTCCTCCTAAGTCACTCCCCCTTCAGAGCACTATCACAACACAATCTGCATATATCCCACTAATGAAAGTACTGTTTTTTAAACTTTTTGTTTTTTGAGCTCAGTTTTTAACATTATATCATGAAACTTTAACCAACTAAGAAGTGCAGCATGTGCAGTTCAAAGGACACAAGTAGCATCCATGGAGCCTAGCTGTGGACACTTGAGATGCTATGGGCTTTTTACACTACATGTAGCAGCAAATGCGGCAGAAGATAACCCAGAAGAAACAGATTTAGGGAGTGGACAATTTCGTCACCACCCGAAACACCAAAGTAAGAACGCGGCCTTTCCTGCTGTGTTCATCTCGTTCCCCCTGGACACTGCTGTGATGCTGCAGGACAGAGAGGAGGGACACTTTTTGCTCTTCCACAGGATCTGTACAGGTGAACCTGGGTTTGTGTGTTGATCAAAATGGTTCTTCTCTGCTGTTATCAGTGCTTATAATCCTCATGGTGTATTCAGTCATCGGTGAAAGAAAAAGACCACCGCGTACAGCACCAAGTGGGAGTATTCACGGGGCTCTATCACCTTGAAGCATGTTGTCACAGAAACAATAAACAGCTGGACTTTCACGTGGCTCATGTTGTTTGGGGTGAACGATGTACAGTGAACAGGAGCCAAAAGTAAATAGTAGGCACTGGGGTGGGTCCACAGAGCACATTATCATGTGTTAAAATGACCTTACATCAATATTGTGATATAGAATACATTGTTACATAGTGAAGCTTTAGTATTGCAATTTGAATGAAAAAGAGCAGTACCTTCATATGGTGTTTTCTCCGGGCCTCTGACAACATAGTGCCTAAGGAGACACAGTATTATATAACTTTACCATTGTACAGGTCTGAACTGTAAAAAACATTCATACTAAAAGGAGTCATTTAAAATGAAACCAACAATAGAACAGTGATTCATCAAGAACCAGAAACCTCTCCTAATTCTGAACTAAAATATGTGACACATATGTGACTCAACTCATGGTACAATTATTTAACATTTTTTGGAGGTGAAAAAAACTGTAAATATGCAACTTTTTTCCCTTTATTTTGGTTCAGTCACGCAGTCTGCATTGAAACAGCAAAGGATCATGGCCTATGTAGTCTCCTCTCTTTTAAGCTATCGCTACACAATAACAATGAATTTAAGCAAAGAGACTTGTAATTTGCTATATTGTGATGGCCCTTGATAATACTGTGAGACTTTTGACAATACAATATCATGATAATTCAGTTATTGTTATGTCCACACTAAAATGTGACGTAAACAGCAAGAATCATGGCCCCTCAGATCAGGATCATCACATTTTATGGTTTATATGTCATTTAAGTAATCTTAAAGGTCCAGAAATCTGATTATAATCAGATTTAGCTGTGCAAGTAAACAAAGACAATGTAAGAAAATCTGTGTCATAATTCATGTTGCTGAATACATGCCCCTGTGTCTCCATGGGATCTTATTGTGTGTAAAAGTTGCCAACCCTGTAGTGTAAACCTCTATAAACATGTTCTGAAATGTCTCTGTGTGTCAGATGCCCTCCCTGACTGCTCCTGGATTAGTTCAAACTGTACAGACCATTCTAAGATGTTGGAGGGCAGAGGCTCGGCGCAGATGTAAGGCACTGGATCTTTCTTGATCCGGAGATAGTCCTGCTTCAGTCTCTGTGTGGCGGTGGTGGGAGCACGCTTGTTCCCGGAGTTGTTCATCTGACAAATCAAAATAATATCAACTGTGGTCATTCACCATTTAAAGAGAAGGATTACACTTCTATACGGTATTAACTGCTAATATATTAGTATATATTTAGATCACCAAGAAAGCTAAAACAATTAAACAAAAATGCATAATACCCCCTTGTTAAATCTGTCCAACTCATCTGTAGCTCTCACAAACCCTTTAGCAGTGTTAATATCCAGATGCAAATGTTGGAATTGTTTAATAGCACAAATCAGATCACCTGTTATAGCTCCAGCTAAATCAGTTCTTTTGTAGTCAGAGATTAGATTAAAGATCAGATTAAAATCTAACAGATCTTTAAACAGAGCAGTGCCTTGCGTTAGCATCATAGCCCAGGCAATGGTAATAACCGCAAAGCAGCTGACAGGGCGCAGTGATCTCATTTTGTCACAAAGTGCTGCTTGTACAATAAACTAACACGAAACTAATGAAAAAAAAAAAAAAACTAAGTCTTTAATAATTAATTTAATAATAAGGTTTATGAACAAATATGTTAATTACCCTGAGTTTACACAACAAATGACTCAACTCCTCTCCTGGTGTTATTAAAGGTGCATTATGTAACTTTTCTGGTAGGAGTCCAGCACTTGGTTGTGTCCAAAAGCTTGCTTTCCCTGGAATGGACCACGTTTAACTTGCTTATTATTTAATAATTAATTGTTAGTCTTTTTCACAATAAAATAACCTGAAAAACATGCTTTCTACTGAAAGCGGGCACACCTCTCCACAGATTGGACCTGTAAATTGAATTGGTGTTTGTCACCATGGAAACAGACAATTTTAATATCATATGGTGAAAAAGGCAAACAACACCATCTCGATTAGGGGTGTGCAAAAATACCAAAATATCGATATATCGTATCACTTAATGTGACGATACAGTATCGATATTAGGCCGCTGTATCGATATACTGCCAAAATGCCAATAGTATTTTTTGGTATTTGGATTTACTACATTATTTTGTTGCTTGTTCAGAGGAAGGAAACTCGTTTATGTGACACATTTAACATTTTCACTGTTCTGATGATTACAATGTTTATTAAACCACTTTTTGTGCAAATTTCATATGAAACACAAAGACTTTTAGTATCACAGTCCTGACTTTTTGATTTGAAATATATTGTATCAAATCAAACGTTCAGTATATCGAGATATATATCGTATCGTGGCCTATGTAATGAGGTACGTATCGTATCGACAACTTCTTAATGATACCCAGTCCTAATCTCCATGGTGGTTGACCTGAAAGGTAAGCAGTACACCTCTGACCTTTAACCTACATGACATAAAATTGACTCTTGTGAGTTTTAAGACAGGTTAATGTTCCCTCCTCAAAAACAGACCTGGAGTTATGTTTTGTTTCATTGAGTAACCCTTTATTATTAGTATGTTTACATCTCCAAAGCACCACCTTGTGATGTCATGAAGGGTAGTTTTCAATTGAACAGCTACTTTTACATTTAGTTCAGCAGAGATTGGCAATTCCAGGACTGAGATGATCCAACTGATTCTAGTGAAGCTGTGTGGAGTTTCAAAACACAGTGGAGCACTTCCTGTATCACCACATGACATCACAAGGTGGAAGAGAGTGTTTCCCTCATCTTCAATGTGCAGGTGTGTGTGTTAAACATGTATGAATGAAACAAAAGACAACTCCAGATGTCTGTGTGTGTGATGAGGACACAGCTGGACACTGGGACATAGATCAGAAAATAGTGTGATTAATCCCTTTGAACATGACATTAGTCCATATTCCCGTAGGAGGCCGGTCCCTGCGGGTGGATGTACAATAATAACACGTCACACAGGGGAATGTGTCCGGGGTTTCGCAATGATGGCAACATTTATGATGACTAAAACTGTCTTCTGCTTTATTGACGTAATGGCCTTTCCCTATCCTAAAATTGGAATAAACACATCCCAGTGTCTCTGACTAAATCCTAGTGCCTCTGGCTAAATGGTTTAGTTGGATCTCGTCAGCACGTCACTTTAACTGAGGCTAATCCGTTGCTTGAGTAACTGCGTTAACATGAGTGGCTAATCTCTGTTAGCATCCTCTGTTAGCTTCGGAGCGGTCACAGTTTACAACATTTAAATAAACATATACTTCGTTGTCTTTTGATAAGCCATATATCTGGGTTAACAATACATGGTAACAGTGTAATTTTAAGATAATCTAAATAAACATAAAGCTATTATATTAGGCTTGATTTTGTGAAACTGCTAGCCATCGAATGCTAACCCAGGCCACGGCTAATGCTATGTTTGGCTACACAATTGGACACTAAAGCTAATATAACCACATTAACGTGTACAAATACCTCTGTGGAGATCACAATGGGAAAGATAACGGGTTTGGACGGGGATGGAGCAGATGTGGTGGATGTCAAATGCCAAAATGAAGAGAAAACAACACGAAGCCAAAGTGTGAGCGGTGCCCACTGCCGGATCCGCGACACTTCCGCCTTCTCTTCTTCTGCGAAGAGGTCACAAGAGGTCACACTGGAGGAACCTTCCAGACACAGACACGCGCACACGCGCGCACGCGCGCACATTGAATAAATGCAATTATAATGTCTAGAATAGAAATCAGTGTTTTATTGGTCACAAAATAAAATGAAAAATAACCCCATGCCTTCTACACACAACACAGTCAACACAACATTCAAGAAAAAAAAAAACAATTATTACAGTTTTTATTACTCAGAAATACCATTACTGACTTGTGTGCATAGATGTTTAATGCTATACTATGGAAACAAGCAGGTGGCGGACCATCCACTGGCAAGTTACATATAGCGTACCTTTAATACAACCTCTAAAAAAAAACAGTGTCAAGTGTCATTTTTATGGCATATAGGCATATAGCATTACTCTAGGTCTCAGACTTTTCTGTGTGGATTTTGCATGTTGTCCCTTTTTCTGGGTGGTTTGACTAGGTCAAGATCTGGAGATGAGCATCAGAGAGACTGAAGGATGGGTCAAATACAGGTTAGATGTATGATGAAGTTAACTGAGTGTGACATCACCCACAATGTTTGGCTCTAGCCAAATGAAGCTCAAGGCTTGCAGTTGTACGGGCGAATTTAGGGCTGAGGTCTGTCAATCAAACCTGTTGCTCTCGAGAGCGACCTTAGAGAAAGAAGGCGTCTGATTTGTCTGTAGGATCATGTAGAGCACCTGCTCTATACAAACATTTTAAGGCCAGTGCAGCAGTTATTGAAAGAGGGGTGACAGGAAGAGCACCCATTCTCACGTCCTGTTTGGAATACAGCATCTAGCGGGTTAGCTATGCCCATTTATATCATGTCATATCATATATACAGTCTATGGTAGGCTGTATAGTTCTTTATATAGTCTATGGGTTTAACCCAGAGACACTGAAGGATGGGTAAAAGGCAGACAACACACTTCTCAACAGGACAATAAAGTGAACCTTAAAACATAGTAAATAAATGAAAACACTGTGCATTGCATTCATAGTCATTTTTAATGGCTCTTTTTCAATCATAGGCAAACAAAACAGTAAACAAATTAATTGGTGACAGCCTGAGAAAATGCTTTTTTTACTTTCAACATTTCAAATAAAGGCTCTTACAGAGTCATTATCAACAAAGCATATTAGAAAATGTGCAAAAAACCCAAGACCCCAAACCACGATCCTGGACAAAAGAAGATCACTGCTTATTAAAAGTGCTGTAGGTGTAAACAAAATGCCCCTGATAAATGTACAGCATTTGAATCTTTTTTTTTTTTTTCTTATTATGAGTTTATTTAAATTTGTGTTCAGTTTTTGGGGCTGGAGAGACGATTGGAGAGGAAACTGGTGAACGTCATCAGGACTGGAGAAGTCTGCAACAAACAACTGAGGTTTAACACAAAATACAGAAATGTCCTATAGTGGAAGAAATGTAGTAGAAGGAAGAGGGTTAACATGTGGCTCTGTGAGAGCACTGCTGGAGGATAAAAGCTTAGGTACAGGACTAACAAATGTGCAATATGAGCAACATTCCCAACAAAGATTGCATTTTCAGATTTGTCTTAAAAACATCTACCTCTAGCCTCATAAAGAAAATACAGTCAAATGTGACAAACCTGAATGGATGTAACTTTCTAGTGGCTTGTCACCTGCATGAGTCCATGGAAATATAAAGTTAAAACCACACTTTCATTCTCCATGGAGATAAAAGTTAAATGCAGTGGAATATTTTAGCCAAAGAAACAACATTTCCATGGACACAAGCAAGAGTAGCTTCTCCTAAGAATCAGGTTTGTGGAGATGCAAGGATAGTAAGGACATGTTTTTCAGTGCAATAACCAGAACGCCCCCAAATAGCAGCTTTTATGGTGGTCTGTTTTTTGGTTGAAAATTAACATTTTGAAGCTTTAATAGTCAGTCGATCTCCACAAAGACAAGAAGGAGACAGGGCCAAGTAGTAACAACCCTGCTTTTTAATTACTTTTTATTTGAATTTTGCCTTCCTTATAGTCACAAGATGGTCGCAATTGCCATGGCCCCAGTAGCCATAATACCTCCAGTGTTTTATACAATGCTCTATAAAATGTCGTGTGAAAAGCGCTAAATAAATACTTATTTACTTACTTACTGAGCTCTTACTTACATGCTTCCTTATTATATAACTCAATAGTGTAAGGCAACAGCAAAAAGACCAAGAAATAAATTGACATTATATATGCAAAGAGGAAAAAGATTCCCAGTTTTACCCAATATGCACCATGAAAAAATATACTGAAGAAAACAGGACTATCCAGAAATAACCCTTATAGGAAGTCCCTCTTATTCCCAGTAGAGATACAGCCGGGTCTAACTCACTCGATCCTTGGTTTTGACTCGGCTGGTGGGAGAGATCAGTCCTATGTGACAAAAACATGTTTAAAATGTTTGACAAATGAAGAGACTGAAGAGAATAATAACCTTGTTAACGTGTACGTGTGTATAAAATATACGAGCACACAGACTAGTATACACACATGGAGCACTATGGAACCTAGCTGGACCACTGAGGGATTACTCAGGTATAAGACCACATGGGAATAGAAGAAGAACATACTGCCATTTAAAGTTGAAAATCACATTCTATTATCTAAAGAAGAATTTTTATTTATTTTTTTATTATCATTTTGGTATCAGAATGGGTATTGGGTAATCAGGTCTATTCCTAAGTATCGAAATTGAGTTTGAAACACTAATGGAGACATACAAGCTGATGGCAGATACTCCATTGTAAAAGGCACATAATACATCTTTAATCATCTTTAAATCATGTAATATTAATAGAAATGTAAGCATAAAGAATCAGAAATGACAGAAAAGGCTTAAAGCAAAATTAGTCCAAGATTTGTTCATTTTATTGAGTGGTTGTATTGAAATTGCAGAGAAAGTCTCCCACCACAGAAGTTTTAAATGACCCTTTACATGAAAAAGAGGCAGGCAGTTTGAATACATTATATTTACCAACCCAATGACCCCCTATGTCAACACACACATTTAGACAGTACATGTAACCACGGTTTAACCTCTATCCTGCTTCTACTGGCACGGTCCACTCAAAAATCCCCAGTAACATTTTCTTTTTGAACATTTGTGTAACATGATTAAAACACATACTTTTCTACACAGGAAACAATAATCTCAACAGCTACTTTACATTTCAGACACTTTCCCTTTAAAAAATCTTTGGCAAAATGGAGAAATGAAAAAGAATAATAAGATGGTTTGGATTTAAAGAGGCGGTATTGCACTTCTATGGGGCATTAACCGCTACCACACAACATATTTAGATCACTGTGTTACCTTTTATTGTTTTGAAAATGCTATATTTGCCAAAAACATGGAATTAACATGTTTTTATAAGATACACTTTCCTTTTTGATGCTCTCAGTCTCCTCTTCCTTTGCTCCCCATGCTAAGTTATTCCCCCTTCAGAGCTCTATCACAAAACAATCAGCATGCAAATGAAACTACTGCACATTGCATCTGGTTTGTCAAGTTGCTGTGTAGACTACTATATCATGTTTTTGCATATTTATGGAGACTTGTTGTGTGGGAACATGGGAGATGTAGGCTTGTGGTATGAGCATTGGACAGAATCTTTTAATTGTAACTGTAAGGAGGGTTCGGATAGGGCCGAGAGAGATCGCTAGATTACTGATTATAACAACATGCATGACTTCTAAAACCTTTTCAGACATGTTTTTGATGAGGGAAAATGTTATAACATGGTAGAAAGCACCCAAAAATAAATTTAGCAAAATATCCCCTCTTTAAGTGCACAAAATCTAACAGAATTGGAGCATGCTTGGTACAGTGCAGAGATGTTTTAATAGTATCCTGGAAACGCATGCGGAACACCGTCACAGATGTCTAAATATAATCAGAAATCAAAGTGCTCTGGAACTGCACATTACTGGACTATTTACAACAAAGTACACAATCTAGAGTAATTTACAAGAGTAGATATGAATGCATTATAAACAAGAGGTCAATATTATGTTTCTGTGGTTTGTAGTTTTGTAATTTTGATGGGATCAGCCATAATATTATGACCACATGTGACAGGTGAAGATTTAATCCTCCGAGATTAGAGCAGTACTCAGGTGACGTGTGTTAGTCCTGGTTTAGTCCTGAGTCCTTAGACTTGGTTTAGTCTCTTGGGTTAGGCCTGACATAGTCCTATGTTAGACCTGGTTTAGTCATTGTTTAGATCTGGTTGGGGCCTCAGTTAGTTGTGGTTTAGTCCTAATTTACATCTGTCTCAAAAGTGATCCGAAGAAGAAATATTATATTCAAAAACCCCAGATCACTGTCATAATATTATGTCTTATTTATTAATGTCAAAATCACAGAATTTATTCAAATATTGCCAATTTAGTTAGAACCAAATTTATGGACTGTGCTTTGTTCCTGTCGATCATATAAAGTCACATTATGTGTCAGACTAGCATAGTCAAAACAATAAATACAATTCAAATGTATGAAATAAGCTTATAGTCATTAAGGCCATATGGGAAAGCATCTCCAGTAACTCCATTTCAAAACTGCATTTTGCTTTTCACAATCAATTTCCCCAGACTTTATTGGTCCAATGGGGTTCTGACATAAATAAAAGTTAAACACATTGAAATAAATCGATAAAAATATAAAAATATGACAAAATTCAAAAATAATACTGTAATTGGGAAAGTGCAAGTTTTTTTTTTCTTTCTTTTTTTTACATTGATAATATATTGTCTGTACATGCACAACATCTCTGCTTCGTTCAAGTCTCGTACAGAAGGCATGTAGCAACGGATAACAGCAGCCACTAAAAGAACAATTTTGGCCAAGTTTAAATGTAATAAGCCAATAATGTAATAACAGGCAGATAATGTAATAACAGGATGATAATGTAATAACAGGCAGATAATGTAATAACAGGATGATAATGTAATAACTATGGTGAGCCAACAGTGCAATCTTCCCA